CACGTGGCAGGCCCCGGGTTGGCCGGGACTGCTGACGTGGCTGCTGAACGGTGGGCCCCCCCCCCCCCCCCATTTTTTTTTTTTTTTTTTTTTTTTTTTTTTTTTTTTCCTCCTCCTTTCCGGATGCTACAAGTTTGTAATCGTTTAATTTAATAAATTCATTTAATTTTAATGTTTAGTTAGGAAAATAATAAATAAAAAAATTTAAAAGAATGAATAAAAAAAAAGACAGAACTAAAAAAATATAATAATTTAAGATGCGAAGAGCATTTAAATTTTTCATATTTTGTCTTTATTTCATTTTTTATTTTGTATGTATCCTTAATCTCTTTTTTTTTTTTTTCTTTTTTTGGTTTATTTTGTAAAATATTATAATTAATACGAGAACAAATATGGATAATCAATCATTTTGCCTAAATTAATATATTAATAAGCATGCGAAAACACATTTAATAAGTTGGTTATATGCTATATAAAACATGCCTCTCGTATCTTTTTACATAATTTTTTTTTGGATCATACTATGGAATTTTTAGGTGACAAAATTAAAAGTAGTCAATAACAATCACATAATTAGAGTGTTATACAAATAGGAAACAATCTTTTCTTTTATACATCATATTGAGACCAGACAAAAGAAGATGAGGTAAGTACACGTGTACCTTACTCTATTTAATTTTCTCTGCAACTTCAGATTCATTCAATTGCTTTTAATTCCCAGATGGCGCACCAGAAAGTGCAGAGCTTTTATTATACCACAGATCTAGCTTCTTTTTCTTTTTTGAGATCGATCTAGCTGGATCTCTATACTTGAATTTTTCTTTCTAGAAATTCTCGTAAACAAGATCAAATTAAATCGTTAAAACACACAGTACGAAAATTAACAAAACCCCTTTGCTTACTTGGATCTAAGCATCACGTCTCTAATGAAGTTTGCATCTTCTTCCACCACAACCTTCTGATAATATTCCTGAAACACAGGATCTTCCACCATGGATGCTTCTGGGTACTTGTCTATGAAATCTTTCCACACATTCTCACGACCCTTCAACTCCCTCATCACCTCCCACACACAATTGCTGCACTTAAACCCCGCTCCTAACCCAATCATTAAGATTCTGTCACCTTTCTTCAACCTCTCCTTAGCTTCCAAGTACGCGAAGACGTACCAGATCCCTGCAACTGATGTGTTTCCGAATCGATGAAGAGCCATTTTTGAAGCTTCCACGTCGTATTCGCTCAGCCCTAAGCTCTTGCTAATCCCCTCAATGACAGCCTTGCCTCCTGGGTGAATGCAGAAGTGGTGAATCCCTGTTTTCAGATTCAACCGAGCTCCTCCACCTGGATATTCATTCGCAGGAGTAACACTCGTACCGCTACTGCGTCGGACTGAAATCTTGTTTGCTAAAAGAGATGATACAACGTAACGAAGCAGCTCTGTTAATGGCAGAACCTTAGGTAAAAGCACTCTGAGATTCGTTGCCATAGCTTTCGCGCCAACTCTTGGGAGACTTTTGGAAAGCACAAACCCTTCATAACCTTTATCATCAGCATCTTGAATGCAACAACTGTAACCTTCATCGTCAGAACCCATATGGGTTCTCACCGCCAATTTCAACTTCAAGATCGCTCGGTGTTTCAGGGCATTGTTGTTTGTCAGAAGCATGGAGCACCCACCTGATCTGAAAAGACAATTCGGGAGCATCATCGATTTTTTATTCCCACAATACCAGTGGGGCACCATAGCTTCTGCACTCACAACGAGAGCAAGCTTGTTTTTGTAACAGTTAAACAAATGCTGAACAAGATCGATTGCTATAACACTCGCGCTACATCCCATACCGGATAGGTTAAAAGTTTTAACATCATCCCTCATCTTATAACGGTTAACGACTCGGGAAGTAATGGACGGAGCTGGAGAAAATAACGATAAATTAACGACGAGGATGTCGATTTCTGACGGAGAAACCCCGGTTTTGGCAAAGAGATTATCGAGGACAGTGAAAATGGATTCGTCGACGTCGGAAAGTGCATCAATCAAGGTAGGGTTTTCTTCTCGGCCATCTATAACACTTCTCGGGCCGTAAGTTTCTTGTCCCATACCGGATCTACCGAAGGTTTTGAGGACAAATTTGTATTCCTCAAGACCCAGGTTCTTGTTACGGAGGATGATTTTCGCGTTTTCTTCAATGCCGAGCTTTCGGTCATCGGCAGCTTTGAAGCATTCATAGTGAAGTAAGTAGCAAGATCGGTTTCGTTTTTGAATTAGTGATTTGCAGAGGTAGAAAATAATGTGGAAGAATATTAGCATGTATATGGCCATGAGGACAAGCTCCATAGTTACAGATGATCAGTAGAGATAAGATGGAAGTGAAGAGGATTTAGTTATATATGTAAATATATAATATATTTGACCTGGAGTGCTTGTATCTTGAGGTTAAGCTTATGGGAAAGATCTGTTTGGGTCTTTCTTTTATAGACCTGAAAAAGGTGGTAACGTACCCAACCACCATGTAATTACTACTACAATAATTTTCTTTTCTCTTCTGGTTTGTTTTTTTTTTTTCCCAAACAATTGATAAGGATGGTGAACTTTTCTCTTTTTTTTCCCTTCAAAAGGATTGATGGGGACGGTAGTGGTGTCACTGGACCTCGTTACATATCCTCGTTACTGATGGGTACACATATAAATCAATAAAATAATATTTTTCAGAGAAAATTCAATAAGAACACACATCTAAATAAGTGATACATAAGCTTGAAAATTCTTGTGAATTATAAATTTTAAAAAAACTAATCACGTTTACAGAAGAATTGGTAATCACTTGAGAACATGAGAAGTTGGATAAGACGGAGCTAGTTTAGACCTGCTTTATTGTGGTCCTTAAATAATGAAAAGTCAAATATTATTCTTAAATAGGAAACTAAGAATGCATTATTACCGCGTACAACACGTTGTACTCGTATTAGGTTTAAACAGAATTTAAATAAGGCATTTTTTTGTGATTTTATTGGTTTTAATCAAGACAGGTTTTTGTTCAATACCCATGAATGGTTACTGTTTGATCTTTTGAAGAGTGAAAAATCGAACTAGCTTTTTCACTTTTCAAATATTAAACTGACTAATTATTATCTTTAAAATCTTCAGCTTTTTATGTTTAAAACACTGAAAATCCTTACTAACCAAGTTTCTCTTGTGTGATTAAAAACACTAATCAAGTTTCTCTTTCTAACATATATATATATATATATATATATATATTCCATGAAAATCTTCCATTGAAAATCGATCTATCAAAATTTCCCATTATATTAAATATGAAAATCCCATTCACCGTGTTTCAAGTAAAGGGTTAATAATGTTAATCAAGTTTCTCCTTCCAGTATTTTCTATGGAAATCAACCAGAAAAAAAGTATAGAAATGCCATCAAGCATGTTAAAGTGAATGGTTATATATCCACCAAACTTTAATAGCGAAGATCAGGAAGATAGGGGGTGCTAAAGGTTGATGAAGCATAATTAAATGAATGATTAGAAGGGAGTAATTAAAACCAAGGCGAGCTGGCAGGACAAAATTCCTGTATTATTTATTTTTATTTTTTTTTCTAATGAAAAGAAAAAATAAGTATCATCAACATTGCGTTATACCTACTCCTTTGTAGCATTATAAATGATATGTAGATACAGATATACAAACACACAGTGCATGTACGTAGCTTTCAAGAGGGACATATACAGTGCATGGGATAGTAACTTTGTGTCAGAAGGTAGAAATGTGATTGGAAAATCTTTTATTGCATGCGACAGTAACTATTTCAAAAACGTAGAAATGTCTACTATATCATTCATCCATGTATAACTCCTCCATCGTAAGAACATATATATATATATAATTTATACAAGCATACAAACCTAGATAGGCCAAGTAGTGAGTGCTTGTTTCGTAGACTACTAATTGATACTTAAAAAATTTAAAAGATACTAAATTCGAACAAGATCAAGTAAGAAATTAGACAAAACACTAACAATTTTATCATTATATTAACTATTCTAAAATTTTTATTTTATTTTTAGTGAGACAAAACTATATTAGCTATTAACTCATTGTTGCTACTGTAAATAAGAAAATCTAATCATAACATAAATTTTTTTAATAAATTTATCGAAAAGAAGTCCAATTTGATCATCACACCGTCATCAACATAATAATTTTAAATTTGTTGAATAAAGTAGTATAAGTTAATGTACTCATAAACTAGTGAATTTTACATTCCCAACAAATTTCAAATTGAAGATAAATAATATCTTAAAAATTTTATAGAATAAGAAATTAAGTATTTAAACAATATTTTTACACTACCATCATAAATACATAAAGATAATTTAAATTCATTACATCCCAATACAAAATGTGGAAACAGATAGACACATAAATCTCGATAAATTTAAGTTGATGCTCTAATTCTCATAACACTATTGCATAACAATAATATTATTATTTTCGTAAATATATAATTTAAATGGATAACAAAAGAATTTTAATCTCGGTCTTAAGATTTGAAATACCCCTTACCGTACTCAAAATAAAAAATACTTAAAAACTCTATATGAGATGTTGTTCTCAAGAATATCAAGTACTAATTACCCATTGACTTCTTTTATTCTTCCTGAAAGGTTTCTTTGCATCTTTTATTAATTAACACACACACATATATATATGGATGTATTTGTTGAGAATAGATATTAAATTGGCATACACAAAAATATCAGGTTCTATTAATGAAAAAAGGGTATGAATTATGTATTATATCGTATTAGCTATAGCTACAATGATCAACATGTTCAAGTAAAATTTTTAAGAAATATTCGAAAAAGCAATTAAAAAGAATAACATTAATCGGTTTCTTAATATATATATATATATAGAGAGAGAGAGAGAGAGTGTGTGTGTGTGTGTGTGTGTGTGATTCATATGTATGTAAATTACTATATTAATCAATATGTACTCTACATTGTATTAGAACTTATTTGAGGTCGGAGACTAAAAGCTGAGCAAATATCCTTTATGTCTCTTTCCATAGACACATACAAATATTAATGAGAGACAAGAAATTCTAACCTTCTTCATACAACTCAGCATGTATATAATAAATTCTTAATAGTTTCATAAAAAAAATAAATAGATAAATAAATTAATTCTTAATTCCTTTGTAAATATATATATATATAAATAAACTCTTAATAATAATGAAAATTAATCTTCATCATAATCATATGAATTCTAACTCTAGACTTTTGGTGCGGTTAATCTCCTGCATATATCCTTATTTGGAGGTATACTGTGATTAGTATATGCAAATTATCTAATTTAATGAATTTATAAATTTAGATTAAAAAAAATTATAATTAATTAATGAAAATTTTAAATTGATAAAAGTAACTTTGAACTTATTATCAATAAACATTAATTAATACGTCATGTGTAAATTCACCATAAAGAAAGTGGATTAAACAAAAACACATTACGTACTTAAGCTGAAATTATGAACATTAATTACAATCGTTCAAGCATTGGGTTGAGACATGGTAGTTACCAGTTGAACATCGCACTAACCACCATCTAATTTATATTAAAACTAATTAATAGAAATAAGACGACCGTCAAAATTCAGAGATTATAGTAAATTACTCGATAATTTAATTAAAATAAACTGAGTGTTAGTCTAATACAACACTTGAATTCTGAATCTTAAGTAAAAGAAAATGAACAACTATCACAGTCTAAAAACTTTTTTAAGTGCTAATATATGTGTGTGTGTGTGTGTGCATATACATATATATATATATATATATATATATAGAAGTTGAAAATCCACAAAAAATGTATACTAGGTTTATCTTAATATTCTGTTCTATATCTTTTTATAAAAATTTAAAATATGGAACTCTTAGAAGTATGTGACTCTATATTATTCTATAATTATTTATTTATACATTAACAATAGAATCAAACATGATTATACCAAAATGAGAATAAAAGGGTTACACTATTTCATAATATATATATATATATATATTTTTTGGGTCAATACATTGGAGATGGTGTTGGTGATCATCATTTATCACCATCATCTTCCCATAGATCTTAATTAATTTACATCATTTCATTGCATTCAACTTTTGAACCCCATTCAATTTATGAGCTTGTCCTTTTGGTTTCTGCTTGCACATGGCTGTTCTGGTCTTTCAGCATCCGCTACATACACATACATATATATATGCACGCACATGATGGGTTTTATTCTTAATTCTTCAGTTTCTGTCATTGACAGTGGTAAATTGATGGGAGGTTGAATTTGCTGTTTGCTAGAAGTGAATATGTGTGGTTTAGATCAGTGAGGTTGATGGTTTGATTCCCAGTTTTTTGTTTTTTGGTTATGTGATTTTTTCTTGTTACTTTTGATCAGAATTTCAGGAATTGATCAAGTAATATAATATATATACATATACAAATAGATACGCTAAAACTTAAAAGATCAAAATTATTAGTAAGTACTATATTTATAATATATGGTCGTAATTTTTTTTAAATAAAAAACAGATACAGTCATTATTTAGATGATATGCATATATATATATATATATCAATAATAATAAATATATATAAATAATTTTTAAATAGATATAAGTTATGATTTTTTTTATTGTATAATAAAATTATTTATTTTTGATTAAATGATTGGAGAGAAGTAATAAAATATCTGTATGTTGTTTCGGTAGATATGGGCGCTTACACGATTAATAAATTGAAAGATGGAAGAGGAAGTTGATAAGTACAAGTGAGAAGTGAATAGCATGCTTTTGTAACATGCATATCTTATCTTCAAATTAAAGCAAAATATGGGACCATTACTGACCATTGTTTTTCTTTGGCTATACATATATATATATATATATACGTATGTATGTATGTGTGTGTGTGTGTGTGTGTATATATATATATATATATGGGGACTAGTAGGTGAGTTTTTCAATAAATTGCCAAAATTATTGTTTATACGTGCCACCTTCACTCTCAAGATTGAATTATTGACAGCATGGGAATCTCTTGAATTCTATTCATGGGGAAAGACACGAAATAATATGTTGTAACTAATTATAATAAATTATTTTTTGTTTATTTTCATTAAAAAAATTTATATGTTCGAGTCCATTTATGTATTTTGTGAGTCTTTAATATAAAATGTGATTTGTCTTGTACATATATGTGTGTGTGTGTGTGTGTATATATATATATATCTCACTTAATTGATAATATATATGAATTTTTACTCAAAAAATTATATATGTATTGAACAGTCATCTAATATTTTAGTTGATGCCTATTCCTTTCATGACTCACTTATTAATTAACTAGATTTTTATCTAACATGTATGAATTTTGAAATCGATTTCTGAGTTCTTTTTTCTTAAGAATTTTGAAATTAATAATTTTAATTGTATTAAAATATTAATAAATTAAATTATTAATTTTATTAAATAAAATATTATAAATTACTCACAATCAGTTAATACATTAAATCATGCACAACTCATAATCAACTAATGTAATCAAAAACTTTACAGATAACATTATTATTCATAATCATAAAACTCTCAACAAATTATCTCTACTTGATTTACATTCAACACGTGAATGTCAACTAAGATAATTGAAATAACTTTAATTGATTAAAAATACTATAAATATGAACTTGATAAATTAAAAATCAATTCGAAAGGAAATTAATAAATCGTCATAAAGATTTACTTTGATAAACTGAATCAATTTTCATTTAATAAGAAGGTTGAAAAAACCTAATTAGTTGAAAATTAAAACTTCATAATTTTATTATTTTCAAACTTTATTCTTTATATGAATATGTGTATATATGTTAAAAAAAATATAAATAAAAACTAAGAGAATTAGTTAAGTAGATAAATAGATTGACTTTCTATTTTAATTATCTAAGGTCATTTTCTAGATAATATTTATAAAAAAAAAGAGGGATTCTAAAAATAAATGCCCTCAAATTTAGTTTGAAAAAGTTTAATTTCAAATAAATTGTTATTACCCCTTGTAATTTTACTTCTACCATTTGTTCTTCCGTTCTTCCTTCTCAAGTCAGCAAAGGAGAATTAACTGAGGTAGCTCCAGAAAACGACACCGCATCAGAAAGTTGACTTCACTGCCCACGCTAGTTGACGGCAGTCTCTGAGTACCAAGGGTTTAGACCCGGCTCTCCGCCGGCAGCCTCGACGGCCCTCTCTATTTTCTGGCCTCCCGTTTCTCTCTCTCGACATAAATGTATATAAATGAACACCGATTGTATACTATGTATGATTTTGCTAGTGCGTAAGATTTGGGGAATGGATATATGGTTGTTGTTGAATGGATTTTGGATTGTTATCATGGAGGAATTAATCGTGATTCATATGTGCTCTTTTGGGACTTTGAAAAAAAAAAAAAAACCAAAGTGGGTGGCTCTCGTGTTCAATTGCGTAGCCATTGATTGATTAATTCATTTTTTCAATTCTTTTTCTTTTTTTTTTTTTTTTTTGTTTAATGGAGTATTTTTAGTAGTCTTTCACTTTGCGGGTCCTGAGAAGTTGATAATTCATAAGATAATCTCTCTTGACAAGTACACATAAGAATACATAGTTTGGTTCGAAACCATGACATGGTTAAGACCCAACGATTCAGTTAAATACTGTACTATATTTAGTATGTTGAATTTCCTGGACATTGTTTGATTAATTCATTTTTATCTGTTTTTGACCTTCTCTGGACACTGGGTACTTCATGATTCCTCAATGTAAATAATGAATCAGTTCTTTTCCATTAGTTTAGTCTTTTAGAAATTTGATCACTCATTTCATATTATATATGTCTGTATATCTACCTATATATATATATATTATTTCAAGTGGTATAAGAGAATTGAAAGATCGAATTTTGCTTAAGCCCTTCTTTCAATAGGATGAGATTGGTACTTGGGACTTATAGACGTTTTAGACAAAGCATAAATATTACTGTTTCTAGGTGGGCTAGTTTTGGACATAACAGGATGAGCCTGAATATGGGAAGTGACTTCTTGGTTTTGATTATTTCCTTTCTTGGGCTCTACATGTTATTTTGCGCTGCATGCCAAGACAAAAGCATATACATTACAAGTTGTATCTCATCTGAAGAGTATAGGCTAATTTTTTTACTACATTTGATAATTATTTCTCTAATAACATTCTCTCAATGCAACATATGAAGCAGGGAAGAAGCAGAAACAATTGGAATATTATACAGAAAAGGTAAACTATCTTCTATCCTTACATTTGAATATGAACTTTCAAGATGAAGTTTTGCTCGATGCTAAACTTCTCTTTTTTGTGGAAACTGAGCCCACTAGATGCTTAAAATGGGATTTCTATAGCTTTTTGGAATATGTATTGCAGCTTAAATAGAACCCTGTTTCTTTTTTTAATTTACTTCTGATGCTTAATTACTTATGTCTAAAGATTTTGATGTTTAGTTATAGTCCTTAACATCATTGAAAATTTCCAGCATGCACAAGAATGAAGATGTCTAATCTTCTTTTCACTTCTGTTTGGTGCAATATCCATGGATAAATGGCTGCTGTTTATGCGTTTAAATTAGGGGATAATTGGCATCTCGAAATCTGTTTGTAATGCTTGAAAATACTTGATTTGATGCTGGACTTGATGGTAATGAAAGGTTAAAGAGGCAAGACACCGTATATTAAATGGGTGTGAACATAATGCACACAGACACCAAATCTTTGAAGAACCCAGTTTGTTGATTTTGGTATGTTAAATTATTAGTTCTTTTTATGCTCTTTCTTTTCATTGATTTTTCATTAATCCTTAGTTATGTTTTGATTTCATCTAAAGTTTAAAATTGAAATTTTTAACAAAAGTTATTAAGTCTGTCTCTGGGTAAATGTTTACACCTTCCTTTCATAATCATTTTCTTGAACCTAATTTTCTCTAAAAATTTATCAGTAATAGTTTTAGCATCCAATCTTCCTTCTACAATGATTAGTAGTGGCTCTCTCCACCCTTTGGATTTTGAAATAAATTGATTTTCATTAATTTTTTGGAGGTTGCTACAACGCTGGCATCACTTCTTTCTGCTCAACTGTTTGATCATCTATGGGAAATCTAAAAGTTGACTACAAAAAGAAGAAGAAAAAAAAGGAGAAAACTGCATCTGCTTTGGATACATTCTGTATACCAAACACTTCAATTATCACGATTTGCTGTGAACATGAGCTGCATCATTTATGGAGGTATGCATACCCGAGAATGACATGATGAAGAAGTTGAAGAAAAACCATCTAAGATATGAGTACCGTGGAACAGGTCTGACAAGTAATTTTCAAGATCATCAGGTCCAAACCTCACCAACATCGCCAGATTTTTCTCACCATTCAACACCCCCAAGTACTTACCATAGAATTCTCTGTACGCTGGTACAAGTTTCTTTTCTATTGACAGCTTAAGTTCATCCCTTAATTTTCTATCTGGTACAATCCATGAGATCTGTTTCATATATGCTGCTTCAAATGCCGCATTAAACTGTCTAAAGTGCTCCTTTGCCACTTCAGGCGATACCATTGTGGAACCTTTCTCTGGCAAGGATGAGAGGACTTTAGTCCATGCTGTTGCTTCGTAGCTTGATGCATATAGTTTAACTTTCTTTATATGCCTTGCTACCCATTCATCTCCAAGGACGTTGTGTAAATGAGTTGTCTGAACTTCATTGACTATGAAGAGAAGATTGTTAGCTAGGAAAAGGTAGGACATAGATATATCATTGTATAACTCAGCTTTTCTGTCGAGCTTGCATAAAAGAGCTAGTATGAGCCAAGCAAGGTGAGTCGATGCTGCTGGAGTTAAACCGTCTTCAGATGCTGGATTCTCAAAACAAGATTCTGGGACTGGTGAATTTCTTGGAAGTGGATGATCAGCTAGAATATCAGATAGAATTCCACTGTGTTCTGCGAGAGAACATATGTAACTCATTGCTGATCGGGCCAGTAGGTGAATTCCACCACCAGGAGGTATGGTTTTTGATGAATCCCTCTGGATTGTTGATTCGAAATTCAATAAAAGGCTGCAGACAGTGTCAGCAAGTTTATGTAGTGATGAAAGGGCCTGCAACTTAATAACTGAGGTCAATTCAGAGTTGAATATTAACTCTATATCCTGCCAGAGCTCAGAGATTGCTTGATGGAGTTCCATTAGCCGGAAAATTCGTCCTGGCAATTTCTTCTTCTTCGAAATAATTTCTGGAAACCTGAATAGTGTAATTGTTTTTTCTTTGCTGATCTCGTAAAAGCAAGACTCTCTAATTGTTTTAGAAGCTGAAAACACATAATCACAGAGCATTTTTTCTCCATTGAGGAGTGTTTTCACTGCAATCTTTATTGCATTCAGCCACTTCTTGGTTACATGCTCCAGTGCTTCCCCATCCATTTTCTGAATATGGGAATTCTTAATTCTCTCCATTCCAAGCAGGTACAGTCCTTCATCTATGATTGACTTTCTGATTAACTTGTAAATCCTTATACACTCTTTCCCGTAACCACAACTGATCATACACTCAGCTACTGCCTTCAGGTCTGACATCACGAGAATTGAGTCCTTTTCTACCTCAGTTATTGACTCACCAGCTTTTTTCATGTCAGCCTCATCTTCAGATACCATCTCGTGTTCATCATCAGAATTGCTCGACCCATCTGATGATCGGCTTGACACTGATTCTGGATCAAGCTTATCACGGTTTGAAGATAATATGAGGTAAAACTCATTTTCAAGCCTTTTCATGGCCGTTTGCATGAGGTTCTGAGCAAGTACAAGTTTGTCAGAAGTTGAATCTTCTGAGACGAAAAAATGCATAGCTCTTCTCAAATCTTTGACACTTTTTAGAAACTGCTTTGCTTCTTTTCTGTTATGCTGAAAGATAGAGGTGACTTTGGTGTATGTTGAAGAATTAGTGTCCCATTTGGTGATGATTGATTCTGCAGTTTCAATGGTTTCTTCCATCATTGAATGGGAGAATGCATGATGGACCGGGGTGGGAGGAGCAGAACCACTAGGAATCGAGGAAGAAGAAGGAAGGAGCGATTTCGAGGATGGGAAGAACAGAGTTGACAGTACTTTTCTTCCCATGACCGTGTTGGTCCTAGCAGTTCCCAACACCCCCATTAGGCTTTAAAGACTGAACCGAAAAAAGAAAGAACTTTACGATGTAAAAGATGAAGCTCCAATTTTTGAGAGCTCGTTGTGATTTGCTTGGTTTGTGATTTATGCTTTGTGGTTCTGCTCTTGAAGGAGTTTTATAATGGAAACAGCCGCAAGTTTCCAGTTGAGGAAGGTGTATTTTTAGACCAAGAAACCATTGACTGACTCAAGTTGATGTATGCTTGTCCCCCATAATAGGAGTTTCTTGAGTGGACTTATGATTACATATTACATATTTTATGACAGTATGGATCATGAAAATAGTTTAAAAATCCTTGACAATCTCTCTAGATTATATCTTTACCATGTCTCCAAAGGTTTCTGACTTGCAACTTGTTTTGGCAGGATTTTGGAGAGGAGATAGTAATCTTCAAAGCCAGGTTTTAGGATGAAAGTCCAAATCAAGAAAACCCAGATAAGCAGAGAGAGAGAGAGAGAGAGAGGTTATGGTACATATTGGGTGTTCAGTGGTAGATTTTCATTGTCAAATTATTACTTTAACCTTCACCAGTGATTTTACTGTCCAGCAAATGACATATCCTTCTTTCTAGCTTCGTCTTATGGTTTCTTTGACTCGTTTGATTTATCCCCCCAACACCAGCAGTTACTGGCCAATGAGTAACAAAAAAGAAAAGTAAGTTGTTTTGCAAAAATAAATTCAATTAAGTTGATAAATCACTTGGGTGATTACTCAAATTGGTTTATAAGCTAAAAATAAAACCAAAATTCTATAAATTATTTATTTATTTATTTATTTCTTAAATAATTATAAATATAATAAAAATAATGATAAAGGAGAAAATTAAGGTGGGCCCCACTGCCACTAAGAAAATAAAATGAATTTTAAGAAGATTCCAGAATTCAAAAACCAGAAAAACAAAAAGGAAGAGTTGACGCTCTCCCTCGCGCACTTCTGCTTCTAAAGTTTGTCAAAACCGAGTGAGTTGACTCACAAGGATTATAATCTTTTGGGTTTTTCTTTAATTATTTATTTAACCCAATAAATATAATATAATATGTATACATACATATATATTATATTCAATATATGAACGTGAGTCAGTTCAAAAAATAATAAAATGAACGCATATATACTTGTTTTCATGTATTATGCGTGTGTGTGTGTGTATATATATATATATTATTCTTTTACGTAAAGAGGGAATTAAATCCTTAATCAGACCCTTCAAAGCTTACGTGTTGATTAACAATAATTTTACAAAAATAATAATTTAGTAATCATGTTCATTAGTCTCCTAATGATTTGGATTTGCTGGCGCATTTAGATGCCATTAGATGCCAAACATATTCAAAGATTAATTGGATTAATTACATCATTGGGGTTTGGGTTGACCAAATCGTTTTTGCATTAAATTTTAATTTATTAATTTGTTAATTTACTTAACTTAATAGGTGAGTTATCTATTACGTAATTGTTAATTATTATTTTTAATATTTATATAATTATGAAGAGTAAGAAAAAACAAAAACAAAATTAAAACCTAGAATATGATCGAATTAAAGGTTTGAATTGGTCTTGATAATTGCACAAAGATAAGTTGTGATCACCAAATTAAAAATACTACACATATATATATATATATATATATATACACACACACACACTCGTTGCTTTCAACAAGTGTAGATTATGTTATCTTGTATGTTATTTATATAAATTGATATGGATGGTAATTAGTTTAATTCATTTATGACTTTAATAAACAAGATAGTTGACCAAGCGAGCAAGGTCTATAGTATTAATTTTTAACCTATAAATTCTTTGTTTTTTTAAAAAAAAAACAAATTAAGTAAACCTAAACTAATGCTTTAGATGAAGTCATTTTCAGGTGAGGGAAAATGCTGATCACAAAAATTTCCTTCATGGGTGAAATGCTATACATACATACATACATATATATATATATATATGCAGAGGAGAGAAAACTGAATCACAATATTATCTTGAACCAAACTTCGAAGATTTTGGATATGATAAGCGAGAGAAGATTAGTAATTTAAGCTTTGACTTTGACTTTAGGTGTGGATTAAGAATCTTTGAAGAAGGAAAAGAAAAAGATGTTTGGCAAATCAAGAATTGTGAGATACCCACAAGCCACAATCATAGACCAACTTAATCATTTAAAAAGAAATTTCAAATGAAATTGTTTTAGTGGGATATGTATATGTATGTGTATGTGTATGTGTATGTGTAATTCACTAAATAGTTTTATTTAATACTCATCATATAACAGGGGGAAAAAATATATATATATGTTTAGAAACATTGATATTTTGAGGTTTTCTAATACCTAATTTCTTATTATTTTAGGGAACATATCATGCAATTACCAGATGATTGAATACTTGAACATGTGATTAAACAAAATCATCAGGTAAGAATTTTTGTAACATCACAGCACAATTAAGTCTATCCCATTGCATAAAAGTATTTATAGACTGATGGTTGCATAAAAGTACTCAAGTTTTTATTCAATTTCTACACGATTTTTATGTCAAGTTTTATTCATATAATTTATTATGTTTAAATTATAATTACTTTGATCTTAAATCTTAATGAATATTCCAGTACTTGATTTTTTTTTTTTTGGAGAAAATAAAATTAATCCCTTAAATTAAACAGAATAAATCATAACCCATAAAAGTAGAAATTGCAAAAAAAAAAAACAAAAAAAACAAGAGGTTGCAAAGTCATCCATCAACATGACAAAGGACTCCATCCATGAATAAGAAACTATTAACTTAATATCATCATCAATTACTACTGGCCAAATATCAGATTTTGCAGTTTTTATTTCCATTTTATCATCTTTATATATTGTGTTCACACTTCTATTTTATACAATCAAAATTTTAAAAATTAAATTCTCACCAGAAATTAAAACAAAACAAGTCTACTCAAAACTCTCAGAACATCAATGAATTTCTTCTATAAACTCTCTACTCTTTCACCAACAACAACAGATCATATCAAATCATTCCCAAGATCGAGTTAACAACAACCGCAAAATCCATCTCCCCCTATGTATGTATAGGCCAGTCAATTTCTTTTTCAACCACGTTTGCAAACTTTCTTTAGCCTTACAGGTATTACCTATGAACTACATTTCTATCCAAACTTGAATCCAACCACACAATCTAAATTCAGACTGAACCGAAACTCAAACTATCTTAATTCCAAAAGTTCAAACACTCAACATATGATATCATATATAACCTTAAAAAACCACCTGATACAAAAGAAAATTGAAAAGCCACCTGATAGACACCATAAATCAAACGAAACTATAACCTTAAAACCTCTCCTCTTGAAATGCATTCAAGCCTAAACCTTCTATCGAGCTCAGACCCAAACAAAAACTCTCCTCAACTTGACTACATTGGAAAAATTCGAAACATGGAAAATATTAAAAGAAAATATACAAAGGAAAACCAGTAAAAGCCGAAAAATATCCAATAAAAGCCAGAAAGGAATTCATTATAATGGAATAGAAATTCTCCTCTTAACTACCACACACATCAAAAAGGTAGACGCTTTCATTTAATATGAGAAAACAATTTAACACTAAGTCAAACTCCACATTCAGGAAGACAAACATAAAAAAATTTGCGAGATTCTAAAATATCATATCTGACCTATCTACCCTAAACCTTAATGGCATACTTCCTCATGGGAAAATACATTTCCTTCTTCTTCTCACGTTCCGTCTTCAGCGATGCCTGTTAAGTCAAAACATGTCATAGGCATTAGGAAAATATGAAAAAGTCAGCAAGCAAGCTCTTAAGAAAGTTCGGTTGCAAGAACAAAGAAATGCATAGAAACTGTTGGAAACCTCCTCTGCATTGAGGTTCCAATACAATCGGCACAACTTCAAATCTCTTCGAATTAGTAAAAGAAGACAAAATAACCATATTCAGCACAGTGAAATTTAGATATGAGAGCAGCCAATTGTACCACGCTAACATAACTGAATATCTATAGGTCAATACAGAAAAGTCTAAATCGAATAATCAACTATGCTCGTGATAAAAGGACAATCAAATAGTCACAAAATCTAGTTATCTAAGACAACAGCCTAGCCTCCAAAAAGTAATGGCAAAACAATATTCATAACAAGAAATCAAGAGTCGAACTTTATGGTAAAGCATTATCTATATCACAATATGGAAGAGCAAAACTCCTAAATTATTCAATTAAAACTTTGAAGAACAAAATTCGAATGCAGAGTCTTCATCATCAAATGAAAGCAAAAATGGAAAGACCAAAGAATCAAAGCAGCATGGTACCTGGTGCTTGGTTAGCCTTCTCCTGATGGCTCTTGTCTTCTTGGGGCGCAGATCAAGTGGCAAGTACTTCTTCTTCTTGTATGCCTCCCTCAGTGCAGCCTTCTGCTTTTGAGAAATAACAGTCAACACCTGGGCAATCGACAACCTCACCACCTTGCTGCACTCCATTTAAATTGAGAAAGTAAAGGTACGAACATCGTAGGAATAACACGACTATACAATCTACGCAACAACACAAAGAGATAGGGAGAGATGAACATACATCTTGGATAGCTTATTAGGAGCACCGCCTGTGACTTTAGCGACGCGCAGGAGTGCGAGCTCGGCCTTCAGATCCTTCAGCTGGTTCAACAGATCAGCCTTCGACTTCTGCCTAAGCTCGTGAACCTTGATCCTCGCTGCTCATATCATATTACCTCCATGTTTTAGTAAAATGAAACAGAAAATAAAGAAGAACACGCAGAAGGAACATGATTATCTGAAGACGCAGTAAAGAAAGGAGACGGTGAGAATGAAAATCACATTACCCATTGTCGTCGGCCGGTTCCTGTCTCTGTTTCGCAAAACCCTAAAAAATGAGGAAAGACTTAGGGTTCCGTTTACCGTAACTTTATTTATATATGTAGCTGCGGTAAGGCAAAAGGGAAAAACAACATTTTATATGTAGCTTTATCCCTGTAAATAAAAAATAGAGTGTTGCTGGGCTGGGCTTGAATTTTTTAAAGAGTTTGATAAAAAAAAAAAAAAGAGGTGAATTTTTCTTTTTCTTTTTTTTAAATATTATTATATGTTCTTAAATTAAATTTGAATTTAGAATCAATTTTCTTATTTTTTTTTATTTATTTTAAACATAATCTTGGAGCCGTACTAAAAATATTCTAATTTCACTTCAAAATGGGGATAAAAAAGTTTACTAGAATGTAAAATTAAAGAATATGTATCAGTATAAATATTTCTCGAGATAGAATTTATAATCTTTTAAAAGAAAATATTATATAGTTTATACTCCTATGTGTAAAGTTCTATTTGTGCATGTATTTTTTTTATTTATTGATTCATATTCAAAAGAAATTAACATTTGAATCTACAAAGTTTTTAAGATTCATCAAATCTATTAAGCTATTTTTGGGTTTTAATATCATAAAAATATTTTAAGAGTAGACTGAATTCATGACTAACAAGTTTCTGCAATGGGGCACTCTGGAATATCATTAGTTCTGTAATGATGATGCATCTGATAAACTTTGCAACATACAACAAATGATTAAGCAAGAAGACATCCATTAATCTTAACTTAAACACAAAATTTGCACAAGAGACATACTCTTATTAAAAGATTCTAGAAAATTGAGTAAACAAAATGAGTTTCAGTATCTACTTTTACATGTCCAGAAAACAGGTATTTTTACTAATTCTGCTACTTAACAAAAAGGTCATCATTTTCTATCTAATTACAATTTTGTCATTCTATTTACAAATCGACCTCGTATCATATTCTTTCACCCCCTCCATAGGCTGGAGTATACATATTGTCAATACCCAGCTTGAGTATAGCATTTTTAAATAAAAGAGGAGGCAAGAGGTTTGGTAAAGCAATCTGCAACTTGATGAGAAGAAGAAATGGGCAGCAGCCGAAGGACCCCATCTCAAATTTTCTGGCGAACCACGTGGCAATCGATCTCAATGTGTATAGTAAAACAGAGATTTCAGCTATTTTGATAGCAGAAGAATTATCACAGTAGACCAAATTTGTACCTACAGATTCAACCTGCAAATCATGAAATAAATAAAGCAGTCATTGTATCTCACAATGACTGACCCAAGAAAACACAATAACCAGTTATGGATTTACGAGAATCTGCACATGTCCCCCAATATGAATCACTAAAGCCTTTGAGTTGCAAAGAATTTTGTCCAGGATAAAACAACCCCTGACCTGGAGCATTCTTCAAATACTGTAGCACCCGGTGTGCAGCTTGCATATGACACCCTGTCAGTGCTTCTAGGAACTGCAAAAGTTGTTGCACAGCGAAGGTAATATCCAGCCGAGTGTGGGTGAGATACAAGAGTTTTACAAGTAGTTGCCTGTAAGTGGTGTTGTCAACGGCTGGAGAACCATCACTCTTGCTCAATTTAACGGAAGAAACCAAGGGAGTAGCTGCTGGTTTGCTTCCTAAAAACCCAATTTCAGATAGAAGGTCCAACATATACTTTCTTTGACATATGTTGATACCTTTATCTGAACGTGCCACTTTAAATCCAAGAAAAAACTTCAACTCTCCAAGTTCCTTGATGCCAAAAGTTTTATGGAGGAAAGTCTTTATATCTTGAACCTGAAATAGACAGTTGCTGGCAACAATTACATCATCAACATATATCACTAAGGCAATAAAGGTGGAACCAGAATGTTTAATGAACAAGGATGAGTCGGCATGAGCTTGCACAAATCCCTTTCCTTTCAAGGCTTCAGTAAGCTTGAAATTCCATTGTCTACTAGCCCATTTTAAACCATAAAGACTCTTTTCTAGCTTGCAAACTTGATCTGTGGCAGCATTAAAACCTGGTGGAGGCAGCATATATACTTCTTCTTGAAGGTCTCCTTAAGGAAGGCGTTGTTAATGTCAAGCTGATGGAGAATCCATCCCTTGGCAGCAGCTACAGCAAGCAGCGTTCTAATAGTGGCAACGACTCCATCATTAAAATCTGTGTTTTTACAATATCAAATGGCTCATTTAAACCTTTGAGAAATCTTGTTACCCTATCTTCTTCTTGATACCTTTTACATTTACAGTCACCATTTTCAGTAGGTCTTAAATTCAACAACTCATCCCACAGAATTTTAGCCTTGGTAAAATACTCTGTTACCGAGCTCACTCCTTTCAGCATAAAAATCTCATCCTGGAGGTCCGAAATTATTACTAAATCTCCTTGGCCAAATCTATCATGTAAGTCCTTCCATAAATCTTTTGCATAATCAAAAGACACTGAACTTTGTGCTATGACAAGGGATAAGGATCTCATGATCCATGACAACACCATAAGTATTACACCTTTCCCATGCCTCATATATCGAATCCTCTTTACTAGGAATAGGAATCGTTCCATCAACAAATTTCATTTTATTCTTGGTAATCAACGACATCCTAGCAAATCTTGACCAATTGTAAAAATTGTTACCTGCAAGAAGCGCGGATGTCAACTGCAGTGAGGGACTTTCGTTCGGGTGCAGGTAGAACGGATTCGAAATACTTCCTTCAAAACTTTGATGAGTCTGTGCTGGCTGAAGTTTCCATGTGTACTTGTTAGGCAGCAAACATCAATCCTCAAGATATCAAGTTCCGTCTTCAAGAACTTAGGGTTTTCGACTTTACAAAATCAAAATCGAAGGAGAAACTCAATTGCTCTGATACCATGTTAAACTTTGCAACATACAACAATGATTAAACGAGACGACATCCATTAATCTGAACTAAAACACAAAATTTGCAGAAGAGACATATTCTTGATTGAAGATTCTAGAAAACTGAGTAAACAAAATGAGTTTCAGTATCTACTTTTACATATCTAGAAAACAGGTATTTATACTAATTCTGCTACTTACAAAAAGGACATCATTTTCTATCTAATTACAATTTTGCCATTCTATTTATAAAACAACCTCATATCATTTCTTTCAGTGGAAAATATAATAATTGTACATGGCTATCTTTTCCTCTTTCGACCAAAAAATGGAATCTTGTCATTCCCAAGATCAAGTTCACAGCAACCTTAAAATCCATCGCCTATATTCATTTTTCAATGGCGTTTATTGGCTTTCTTTCTACTCACTCAGTCATACATACAAAAGATGCCACATTGTATATTCATAAACTTATAGGTATACTTAAGAACTAGGTTACCACATATCTATGAACTCAGAAATACAAGCAAATCACCCAACTTCAATCTAACTTCAAACTAAGTTCAAACTCAAATTATCTTAACAATTCCAATAACATCAAAATTTTAATATCGTATTATATATTACTAAATAATATTAGTATGGAAAACTGATGAACACCAGTGGTCTAGTTGTTGAATATTGATATGGAAAACTGAACAAGATTAGTCAGAAAATATGAATACCCTATTTATCAACACAACCATAAGTCAAACAGAACTACAACCTCAAAACCTCTACCATTAAAAAGAATTCAAGCTTAAACCTTCAATCAAACTCAAAGCCAAACAAAAACTCTTCTCAACTTGATAACATTGGAAAAGAGACAATCAGAGAAACTGCTAAAAGAAAACATAGGAAGAAAATACACTAATCTGGCAAAAAAATAAGATTCCAATAAAAAAACAGAGAAATTCATCAAAAAACTAAGCACCTTCAATTAATATGGGAAAACCATTACAAACTAGCTCAAACTCAACATTCAGAAAGACAAATACTCAAAATTTGCGGATCAAATAGGTTTATAATTTGCGAGGTCCTACAAAACATCATATCCGACAGATCTACCCTACACCTTAATGGCATACTTCCTCATGGGAAAATATATTTCCTTCTTCGTCTCACGTACTGTCTTCAATGATGCCTGTGAAGTCAAAACATGTCACAGGCATTAGGAAAACATGAATAATTTAGCAAGCATGTACTTACAACAGTTCAGTTGCAAGAACTAAGAACTGGTGGAAACCAAAAGAATTCAATAAGTGTAGCCATTCTTCCTTTTCACAAAACAATCGATAGAGACTTTAGGGATTCTCTGCTTCATTGAGGCTCTCTAATATTATCAGCACAATTAAAAGTTCTTTATATTTGTAAAAGCATACAAAACAACAAGATTCATCAAAGTGAAAATTTAGATATTGGAGCAGCCAATTGCACTACACTAACATAACTGGAACGATTGTTGGTCACTACAGAAATTGGAAATTGGATAATCAAACACGGACGTGGTTAAAAAGAATCAAAATAATAACCGAAACTAGTTATGTTAAATAACAGCTTAGGACCAAAATGCAAGGGGAAAAGACAGTATTCATAAAAATGTTTTTTTGTTCTTTTTGATCTCCCTCGAAAAGAAATCAATAGCTGCATGTACGGTAAAAAATTATCAAAAACACAACATAAAGCAACGTAACCCTGTAAATTATTCGATTAAAACTTTTAATTCTAATACAAAAACTTCTAACGAGTGCAAGCAAAAACGGAAAGAGCAGAGGATCGAAGGAGCATGGTACCTGGTGCTTGGTTAGCCTTCTCCTAATGGCTCTTGTCTTCTTGGGGCGCAGATCAAGTGGCAAGTACTTCTTCTTCTTGTATGCCTCCCTCAGTGCAGCCTTCTGCTTCTGAGAAATCACAGTCAACACCTGGGCAATCGACAGCCTCACTACCTTGCTGCACTAAACCAAAATTGAAAAAGTCAAGGCATGAACGCTCATAGCAATAGCACGACCAACCTAAGCAACATCACACGCAGATGGAGAGAGATTAACATACATCTTGGATAGCTTATTAGGAGCGCCCCCTGTGACCTTCGCGACGCGCAGGAGCGCGAGCTCGGCCTTCAGATCCTTCAGCTGGTTCAACAGATCGGCTTTCGACTTCTGCCTAAGCTCGTGAACCTTGATCCTCGCTGTTCATATCATATTACCTCCATGTGTTAGAAAATGAAACAGAAAATAACAAAGAATACACCGGGGGAACATGATTATTTGAAGATTAGAAATAAAGGAGACGGTGAGATTCAAATGCACATTACCCATTGTCGACTGCCGGTTCCGATATCTGCTTCACAAACCCTTAAAAATGAGGAAAGAATTAGGGTTTCACTTTGTCTAACTTAATATACGTATTATCCCTGTAAATTAAAAAAAAAAAAAAAAGGAAAATAGATGGTGGGCTGAGCTTTAGTTTTAAAAGAGTTGGAAAATAAGCCCAAAAAATGTTTTATAAAATATGAGGTGAATTTTTCTTTTTTCTTTTTTTTTAATGATATTAGAATTTATATTATGTGTTATTAAATTAAATTTAAATTTAGAATGAATTTTTTTTATTTTTACTTATTTATTTTAAATATAATCTTAAAGTCTTACTAAAAATATTCTAATTTCATTGTGAAATGAGGATGAAATTCTATAAAAGAGTAATTATTGAGATGTAAAATTAAAAATATGTTTCAAAGATATACAACTTATAATTTTTTGGGAAAAAAAAAACATTATATAGATTGTAGCCCATGCCTCCATCTGCCTTAGTGAGACAAATCTTTGACCATGTGAATCTTCTTTACCCCTCCTTACACAACATACCAAAACTGTATAATTAATCCCTTCAAATTGCAAATAAACATTTTTGTGAAGCAATAAGATATTCATACTGTAACGGCTCCAGAAATTTAAAAGGAAATACATATAATAATCTGAATACGGAAGCGAACTAAAATACTAAGGTTAATATCCCTTATACAATAACTTAAAAGTACTAAATAATATCATAAAATAAGTTCTCTCAAATAAATAGGAAAAAATAAAGGAAACTATAAGATATCTAGCATCTACTCGCCGTCTTCTTGTGGATCGGGTTCGGGAATCAGGTCCTCCTGATCTGAAATGGTTAAGTAAGGAATAAGTTACACTAACCCAATGAGGACATCACACTATTACCGTCACAGAAGTAAAGGCCGGTAAAAAACTAAAAACAACAAATAGAGCACATATTTTAAACAAATTTATTTATCAATAATTAAACCATTTACCGTCCACTTACCGCAATGAGATTTATAAAAATAACCTATAGAAACAATAACATTATAAATATCATGAATTCATATATAATCTGTAACATAGCACATATCATACTTTTATATTCAAATCATCAAACAACAATTGCTCCTTTTTATCAGCCTACTAGTATCCATGGGGACCCATAGGGGTCCCCGCTACACGTGAACCATTCCCCTTAACAAACTTAATTCTACGGCCGTCCCTACACCCCGTCCGATATGAGCACCAAAATAATAAACCTCAATACCTCGTCTAGTATGAGGGTGAAGTGGGTCGTCCCCAAACTCCGTCCGGTATGAGGGTGAAGCAGGCCGCCCCATACCCCGTCCAGTATGGGCGTCAAATCACCAAGTCTCCATACCCCGTTCGGTATGAGACAATGTTCATGGTAGGGTTCCCTATGAACCCAGCCCGTCCACCATCTCTTAGGATATCTAGTGAGGCTGTCATCTTATCCATTTATCAAATCACACCCCCATTTCCTATTTTTTCTTAGTCTCCGTTACTAATTCAAACATGAATACTTAAACAAGTAACGTGCATCCAACAAGGCAAGCATATCTTAGATTCCAAAAATCAAACAGTATTGAAGTAAACAGTGATTCATGCATTCAAAAACATAGAATAAATAAACTAAATACCATAATGCATTTAAACTATAAAATAAATCAAACAAGAATTGACAGAGAAATATATCCAGTTCGGGCTCCATTAGCAACCATAATTAATTATGCATATCTATTTAGTTTGTACAAAATACAGTATTATCATTTATTCAGACTTCAATTCCATGATAGGAAATAGAGTGAGGGGTCCTTACGTGATTTGATGCTGAAAACTAGAATTTCACTGCGCCTACGGGCGGTCCCTCGGTTTCCTGAATTTTTATCGGAAACTGAAACGCACTTATGGTACCTACACATGTCCAAAATAATGCAAAAATCATACCTAGGGCCTATTCGGCGAATTTTGGAATTCTGGCACGACAGCTCTGTCGTGTTTCGGTGAAGGCGATCCGCCTTGGGTTTGCTATTTTCGACCGTTTTTGGCCGAATTCAGCCAAACTTGCATCAGTTCCTGTGAGAAAACACCCTTTGAACCCTCGGTGGGCCGAAAAAACACAGAAAACATAAACTTACCGGTGGTGGGGCTCTCCGGTGCGGTGACTCCTCCAGCTCACGTCGCGATTTGGTGTTTTGCTCCGATCAACCTGTAAATGAGGAAACCGTGATCACAAAGGTGAAAAAATCACATTGAACAGGAATCGGAAAGGGCCTCATCGGAGGCAAAAATTGAGACACCCTGCGGCGGCGCCGCTAGGCTTCGGTAGTGTTTTTCGGCCAATTGATCGGTGATTTCGCTCCGATTTGGCCATAAATGGGTTTAGAATCGAATTCTGAGCAAAATGTAGAATTTTTACCTCGTTTGGCGACCAGAAATTGCTCTGGTACGGCAGCGGGTGGTGACGGTCGGCTCCCCGGCGGTGGGCTGTCTTCCTCGACGAGGGGCTTTAGCTGCTAGGGTTAGGGTTTGGGTGCGGATGAGATTATTTATAACCATCCACTTTTGATCTGAACCGTCCATCGCATTTAATCTGAACCGTCCAATCACGATTAAGTAGAAAATGAATATGGATCATTCATCGCGATTCAATTTGGACCATCCGTACTCGATGCAATCTGGATCGTCCGTGTGCGAAGCAATCTGGGTCGTCCGTATGCGCGGGAACGGATCTAAGCCATTCGATCGCGCACACGTGGATCACCCATGTAGCTCCTTTCTGCGTGGTCTCCCACGTCAGCATCTCTGCCACGCAGCGCGTCCTAGTTGGTCGGGGCTGCTAACCGGGTAGCTGACGTGGCGCAATTTTTTTAAATTACTTTTTGGCCACAGGTTTTCAATTTTTCTTTCAAAAATACCATCATAATCCAAATTTTTATCCCTTTTTCCAAAATTATTTTCAATTAAATCCCTAAATAAATTTTATCCCTTATTATTATTATTATTATTATTATTATTTCTATTTGAATAAATTAAATTAAATTAATAATAATAAAATTTTAAAAAAAAATTCTTGGGTTTTACAACTCTCCCCCTTTTAAAGAAATTTGGTCCCTCAAATTTGCTTTTTACTCTCGATCGAACAACTGGGGGTACTGGGCTCTAAAGTTTGATTCTAGCTCCCACGTAGCCTCATTTGGTGTGTGGTTTTGCCATATGACCCTTACAAAGGATATTTCCTGGTTGCGGAGTAATCTACTCTTTCGATCCGTAATGCCGACTGGTACTTCCTCGTAGGATAAGTCTTCCTAGAGTGTGAGGAGTTCGTGGATCAAGATATGAGAGGGGTCCGGGTTGTACTTACATAGCGTGGACACATGAAACACATTGTGGACCTTGGAAAGCTCTGGAGATAGTGCTAGTCTGTAGGCGGCGGTACCAATCCTGTCTAAGACTTCAAATGGTCCAATAAATCGGGGGTTCAGTTTTTGCCTCCTCCCGAACCTACTAATTCCCTTGAAATGAGTTACCTTAAGGAACGTCTGGTCGCCTTTCTCAAACGCTAAATCTCTCCTCCTGGTGAACACTCTTCTGTCTGTTCTGAGCCATTTGAATGTTCCTCCTGATCTTAACTATCTTGGATATGGTCTCCTTTACTAGCTTTGGGCCAAATAATTTTCTATCGCTCACTTCTTCCCAACAAATCAACGATCTGTATGGGCATCCATGTAACACCTTATACGAAGCCATGCCAATGCTCACTTGGTAGCTGTTGTTGTAGGCAAACTCTATCAGGGGCAGACGGTCGTCCCAATGCCCCCAGAGTAAAGGAAACAAGCTCGAAGCATATCCTTAAGTGTACGGATTGTCCTTTCTAATTGTCCATCAGTCTGAGGGTGAAAGCAGTACTGAGGGACAGCTTCGTTCCCATGGCTTGCTGAAAGCTACTCCAAAACCGAGAAGTGAACCTGGGGTCCCTGTTCGACACCACTGTCACTGGAACTCCATGCAATCTGACTATTTTTCGGATATATATTCTTGCCAACTTGTCCAAGGGATCGGTCATCCTAATGGTTAGGAAGTGGGAGGACTTGGTAAATCGGTCAATAATTACCCAGATGGCGCCATGTCATGAGCGTGCCTTAGGTAACCCTGTCAAGTCCTTGGTGGTATGTTCCCACTTCCATTATGGGATCGGTAAATACTGAAGTAACCTACCTGGGCGCTGATGCTCTACCTTGACCTGCTGACATACCAAGCATTTAGACATAAAGTCAACTATGTCCCTTTTCATCCCATTCCACCAAAATCGGGATCAATTGATTTGGTACATTTTAGTGATTCCGGGATGCATGACAAACTTTGAGCTATGGACCTCTGTCATGATGTCTCTCTTTAGCTCACTGTCACTTGTAACACACACCTTGTCCTGAAATTGGAGTAACCAATCGGCGGAGACTCGGAATTTTGAGCTAACTCCTTGTTTTGCACTGCTATTGAGGGCTACTAGGGCGGGATCAAGTGACTGAGTTTCCCTTATCATCTGGATTAACTCAGGCTGGATGGTCAAATGGCCCAAACATGTGACGCTTCTCAAGTCCTGAAGTCGAACATGTTGTGTAGCCCCAATTTGCCTGCATTTTGATACCATTAAATGGGTTAAGATACCTGCACTTTTTCTGCAGAGTGCATCGACTACCAAGCTGCCCTTACCCGGATGGTACAATATATCACAATCATAGTCCTTAAAAAGTTCTATCCACATTCTCTGACGCATGCTGAGATTCTTCTGAGTGAATATGTGTTTCAAACTTTTGTGATCGGTATAGATCCAAAAGGTCTCTCCGTATAAAATAATGGCGTCAAGTCTTCAAGGCGTGTATGATTGCGACAAGCTCTAAGTCATGGGTGAGATAATTTTTTTAATGAATTTTTAACTGTCTGCACCCATAGGCTATGACATTCCCATGCTGTATTAGAACACAACCCAAGTCTATATATGAGGCATCATTGTAAACTGTATATCCCTCCAATCCAATCGGTAAG